ACATTATCACAACCAGCAGCTTCTATTTGAACAACCCATCCAATATTCTACATTATCACAACCAGCAGCTTCTATTTGAACAACCCATCCAATATTCTACATTATCACAACCAGCAGCTTCTATTTGAACAACCCATCCAATATTCTTCATTATCACAACCAGCAGCTTCTATTTGAACAACCCATCCACTATTCTACATTATCACAACCAGTAGCTTCTATTTATTGAGTACATTATCTACAGTGATTTAATTTGTAAGTATGTGGTCCAAAATGTTTTTCACTCATACCATTATTGCTATTTCAGGTTACCATGCTTCTTTAAATATCTGTGAGCTCCTTTTTTTATGTGTGTGCATCTTGAGTGAACTGGCTACCTGTAGCAGCTGTTAACCTTTAGAAACGTATTGTATGATACAAATTAGCTGCAGTCAGCCCTATTACAAGCATGAAGTTTGCTGTATCAATACTTTTAATAATGAACTGTAAACCTATGATATATATTTGTGTGTGTGTATAGTTCTTGTATTGTATATTAACTTTAAGATACCTAAATCTTTTGTGCAGTATGTTCATCTCTTTATAAATTCTGTACAGGGTATATACATCTCTTGTATCACTGAAAATGGAGCAGCTGCTAAGGATGGAAAGTTGAAAGTTGGGGACAAAATCTTGTCCATTAATGGAGTGGATGTAGAGGACGCTCGTCATGATCAAGTAGTCAGCATGCTTGTGGGACTAGAGAGATATGTCCGCCTGGTAGTCCAGCGTGATCGTGTAAGATAATAGTTACATATTAGAGCTAGAATTTTTGTCATTCATAAGCAAAACAAGAACTTAAGCTGTGTGGAAGGACATATAAATTTATTTAATGTCCGTGCTTTTAAGTATCTGCTTGTAATTTGTTTTTTATGCAGAAAATTTACCTGGACTTTTTTATTATCATGTTAAGTAATGATAATTTTGTTAACAAATACTTGCAACACATAAGAGCCAATATTTTTTGTGGTGTAAGTTTAAACAAAATAATAAATATTATGCTTGTTAAATTGTGGTTATATTTTTTTTAGGTTTCTTCATCAAAGGGTTCTCTTTTTTTTTTTTCTTAACACAAATGCTGAATGTTTTTGAATTCATGATGGACAAATTAAGAAAAATGTTGGAAAAACATCAGCATTTAATGTGATTTTTATCATAAACATTAGTCCTGTTGATTTCTAAAGCTTTATATGCCTTTGGTATAGAAACTATAATGTTTAATGTATGATACTGCACATATAAATAGCATTTTAGAGAATCTTCAGCCCAACTAACAAGTTCTAGTATTGAACAAAGGGATTCTTAGGCAGTGATTTATTGGAAATGAAAAATAGATCTGAAATACTATTTTTCATGCATCTGGTTTTGAATCCATTATGGACAAACTGAAATGTGGTAAAAAAATTTGCTGTTAATGTGATTTTTATCATAAATGTTAGGCCTTTTGTATCTGCAATTTTTATTTTTTTTATTTTAATGTTTCTTATTTTGTACAGTTAAGTATTTCTATTGTTTATAGTTCTGGTGTTAAGTTGACCTAATGTGTTTGACTTTGGGCTTTTATTTGAATAATTTAAGATCTCTAAATGCCTTAAGATACCATATTTACATTCTTCTTTGATTTAATTGTGAATATTTCTTACTTGTAGTTGGTGCCTAAGGATCCAAAAGTACCCATTAGTTTTGTTTCTACACCTGCTCATAAGTCAACTAAGGTGTTCGGTGTACCAAAGCCCTATACCTGTCTCTATTCTGCAGACTCTTACATGGCCAATAGACCATCTTTTTTAGGCACCTACAAAACAGATGGACACTCTACACATTCCATTTATACTAAACTACCCGTCCACAGGAATGAAACTGTGGGAATGTCATCTTTTTCAACCACCACTACTCAATCAACCAGTACAATCACTGCCACTAGCCCAACAACCTCCCCATTTTGTCATTCTTCTACATTACAATCATCCCCTAATATTCTCACTACTACATCTCAGTTTGTAAGGCCTAGCAGCTACTCTGGTTTCTCGGTTTGTGAACCACATTCACTGCCTCTCCAGGCTACCCACACCAGCAGTCCAATACAAACACCTGATTATGCAGAAGAACATCTGCCTTTTTCCAACCTTCCAGAGAACTACTCCAGTTCTCAGCCTCGTGTGGTTTCAAAGCAATTGGGAACATTTGATACAATGATTCCAGAGTATTCAAACTCTCATATCTCTACTGCTCGGTCACAGTCAACCAAGACAATAGTCCCTTTTACTTCAGGATATTTCAACCCACAGTCCCAGGTCTATTCATCATGTTCTCAAAAACCACAAGTGTATGGGGAGATCTCCCAGAATGGTCCCTCTCCTGCACAAGTAACAGAATTTTCACACTTGGCTAAAAATAACCAAGCAACTTCTCGACTAAGTGGCCCTCTAGTGACAGTAACCATTCAGCAGCCAGAATCACCTGTACCAATTGGGCCAGAATTTCCCCCTCCACCCAAAGCTCTTGGAACTTTCACAGAAACCATCACTCGATCAACGTACACTGAAACCATCAGTACTCGACTTACCAACAATACTTTAGCTCTTACTGCCCCACTTGTAGAGGTAAGATTTCTAACTTGTGTGAAAATGTAACTTAAACTACTCTACCTGTTTATAATAAATTTTTAATTAAGGTAAATATTATGAGATGATATTCTTCAAAGTAAGATATGGTCCAATTTCTGTATTGTAATTGGAAAGTTAAAAAAAAGTGTGTGAAATTGTTCAATAACATATTGCAGTTCTCCTTGCCCCAGTAAAAGTTTTAAAAGCTCAATCTTTGATGTGCTTCCCTTTCCCATAACTGGAGAATTACAGATTTTGTAAACTTCTTTAAAACTTTCTGTCTGTCTGTCTCAATTGGAAAAAAAAATTAACTATTTCTTTAAGAGACTGTTTCTCTTATCACTTCAGTTAAAGAGGTAAAATGTATATGAATTTGAACTTGGAAATATTGTTGCTCTTTCTACATGATTGAGATTGTAAAAACTGTGTGAAATTATTCTGTAAGCCCTTTCACATCCAGTTGATGAATTAAAAATTGTGTGAACTTGTTATGTAAAATACTGTGTTTTCTCTTTTTGTACTGTTAGTAATTTTTTGAACCTTCTTCTTTAAAATATACTGGTTTTCTATAATCTAACGAGAAGGTAAAAAATGAATTAAACTTGTTCTGTAAATCACAAAGATATTCCTGTCCTCAGTGTGGAGTTAAAAGTATATGAATTTGGCTTTAAAATACTTGGCTCTCTCTATCACAACTGAAATGCTTAAAGTTTTATAAACTTGTTCATCAAAATACTATGAATTTCTCTATCCCTTTAACATTACAAATCTGTATTAACTTGTTCATTAAAATACTGACTTTCTCTGTCCTTTTAACATTATAAATCTGTGTTAACTTATTTATCAAAATACTCTGACTATATCTGTCCCTTTTAACATTATAAATCTATATTAACTTGTTCATTAAAATACTCTGACTTTTGCTATCCCTTTTAACATTATATATCTGTATTAACTTATTCATTAAAACACTGACTTTTGCTATCCCATTGAACATTATATATCTGTGTTAACTTATTCATTAAAACACTGACTTTCTCTACCCTTTTTAACATTATAAATCTGTATTAACTTGTTTATCAAAATATTCTCTCTATATACTTTTTAACATTATAAGTCTGTGTAAAACTTGTTCATTAGAATACTCTGACTTTCTCTATTATTTTTAATATTATAAATTTATGTGAACTTGTTCATCAAAATACTGTCCTTTTCCCTATCCCTGCTCTCTCTATATATCTCTCTAGGTACCGTATCCAAACAGGACATTAATAACCATGGTCTTCCACAGATCTCTTCTCCTTGAGACACATTCATTCATTTAGATACTCTTGACATAAGTCAACTTTTGTCTTCCACGGTCTCTCCTTTCTTCAGTCTTTCTATCCCTGCTAGCATTATGAACTAGTGTGAATGTTCTTATAAAAATACTTTAACTTTACTTATCCCTATTAAAGGTTGTAAAATTGTGTGAATGTTCTTATATAAGTACTTTAACTTTACCTATCCCTATTGAGGTTGTAAAAGTTTGTAAAGTTGTTTGTCAGAATTGACCTTATCACAGTTGAGGCTGTAAAATTGTGAAAAACTTGTTTTAGCACATTATTACTGTTTTTCTTTATCTTTCTAAAATAGCCTAAATAATATATATATATATATACACCTGGAAAAAAGTTAAGCACCCCCAAATATTTTTCAGGAT